TCTGCCCCCCCGCCAGTGTTCATCTCAGACTCTAGACACACCAGCTTCCTGACAGCTTCCTCAGCACCCCGACTTGTCTGGCTTCCACGCCTTCGCACGTGCTGTTTCTGCCACCGGAACTCTCTGCCTACCTTGGCTGACTCTCCTCTGTAAATCTTTGACCTCTCTAAAGCGAATGAGTCACTCCTTCCTCTGGGGTCCATCCCTGTGCCACAGCACACTGCTCACGGTGCTTTCAGTGACATTCTGAGCAGCCACCCAGGCAGGGACCTGCCAAATCCCCAGAGATGAGCCAGTGCCTGACACACAGGTGCTCAAAACATTGAGTGGCTGAAAGAAAATGCTTTCTGTCCTAACGAAGTTTGAAGCTTAACCTCAATGTAGACAGTACCCTCCAACCTTAAAGCCTATTCTTTCGGACTCCTCTTTCTTAAATTCCGTGCACTAGCGGTGTACGTGTGTGTGTGTGTGTGTGTGTGTGTGTGTGTAATCTTTACGTGCTTCATAAGAATAAAAGCGCCAATGCTCCAACTTTTTTCTCCACCTCAGGCCCTTTGCACATGCCATTCCCTCTGCCTTGGACACTTTTCCTCGTGCTTCTTTGCTTTCTCAGCGTCAGGTTTTAACCACAATGTTGCCTCCTCAAAGAGGCAATCTAGTCAGTCTGAAATGGATCTTCCTGGCGGTTCTCTGTGCCACACATCCCTTTGTTCATCTCCTTCACAATTGTAATACTAGCATTAGCTTAGCAAATGTTCCTGTTTTTGTGTTTATGACCCACTTGTATCTCTGTCCTGGAGCTGGGAAATTTCCCTGTGCTGTTCGCCACAGAATCCCCAGTACATAGAAGGAGTCCTGGAACACAGCAGGTGCTCAACAAGCAGCTGAAGAAAAACAGGGGCTGAATGAATGAGGCTAAGAATGGCTGTGTCCAGTCATACGAAGAGCAGCCCTGAGGCAGCCCCCAAAAGGTCTCTGTTTCCCCCATCAGCTTCATCACGGTCCCCAGGAACTTCCCCCCACCCCAGGCAACACCCTCAGTTGCCAGGGTCTGAGCAATCACGTCTGCTGTCATCAGATTAGTAACAGGAACTTTCAGAGAGGGACAGTGGGTTGCCCGGGGTGAAACAGCTAGTTCTAACCAAAGCAGAGCTCTCAGGCTGGGGGAGAACCAGCCTGGTGACCCTGAATCAGAAACAAGGCTCTGCCACTCTGTCACAGTGGGACCCTTTCTCTGGACACTCCAAAGTTAAATCTTATTCAGTCTCTCCCTTTCTCTGAGCCTCAGTTTTCCTCATCTGTCAAGTGGGGGCTGTGCCCTGTGGCCTGGTCTGGCTGAGAGGGTGTGAGGTAGGGGCTGGGCATACTGTGAGTGTTTGGGTAATGTTAGCTGCTTTTTTGCTTTTTTGTGAGTGATGAAGGGTGGCTTGTGGGTGTCTGAGGACACATGTGCCAGGACTCTGGAGTTATTCCTTAGCCAGTAGCAGCTGACCATGAGGAGATGGGCCTGTCCCTTCCCAGTGTGCACAACCTTTGAGCCTGTGGAACCGCTCAGTCTCCCTCTCTCCCAGGCGGGCCAGGAGTCCTCGTCCATGAAGCCTGTCTTCACCTAAACAACCTTTCCCTCCTGTAACTTCCCCCAGACTGTACAACCTCTCTCAGTTACTGTAACCACATCTCACTCCAGCCCCATTTCCCACCGGCCCAGGAGGGGCTGGTGGTTAAGGCAGAGAAAGAAAGGATGCTTTGAACCACATCTGCTTGAGGCCACGAAGCGGGGGTGGGGGTGGGGTGGGGTGGGGTGCAGGCAGGCCTGGCAACCGGCCTTTATTTCTTCCTTGCCCAGAAGGCCCCCACCAGCCTGCCCCAGCCCTGGATAAAGCAGCCTGAATGTTGATGATTTGTACTGGAAAAAGTTCGCAGGTCTCAGTTTACATCATCAGGCTTTTGGGCAGATGAGGAAACAGAGGCCCAGAGACATCCAGAGCCAACCAACCCTCGAGGATGTAGAGAGAGGAGGGGCCAGGGCCTGAGCGGGAGCCAGGCTGGGACCCTCGCCCACCTCCTTGGGGACAATTTGCATAGCCAGATCCTCCCTGGGGGCTGTGGGGGCAGCAGGCTGGCTGGGTCCCTGCCACAGATGTCCTGGCCATTTGGGGGGCCCTCGGTGGGGCCCCTGCCCACACCCTGAGGAAGGGAATGTTCTCAGGTCGTTTCAGAAGTTCCAGATTTACTCAGAGCTCTCATTTGAGCTGTCAGAAAAAGTCCCTTTGGCCGTTTGCCAAGCAAGGAGTGGGGGCGGTGGCACCTGTGAGCCTTGGGGTGGGGGTAGGGCTGCTCCCCTTTTCCCCTCCCCCACCCCTCAGGTTTGGAGGTCACTGGAGGGCAGGGACTGGAGGGAAAAGCCTGCAGGGAGGGGGCTGTGAGAAAGTGCCTGTTCCCCTGTCTTCACAGCTTTCTTCCCTAGGCTTATAAGCGACCCCCTGGAGTGACCCTAGAAAACCCCACCCCTCGAGGAGTCTGTTTCCCCATCTGTGAAAGCGGGGAGTAGAATCATCCTAAGAGCTGTCACTGATTGAGGGTTAGCATACCCCAGAAGCTATGCCAGATGTCCTAGCTAATATCACGGCAATTATTACCGATAATATTAAAAGTAAAACATCATCGCCGCTATTTCTTATGAGCCATTTGCTGGCCTCATCACACTGGCTCTGTCCGTCTGTACCCCACTGCACCCCCAGGACCCAGGACAGTGCCTGACACACAGTAGGTGCTCAATACATGCATATGAAACAAAACCTCACAACCAGACCGAGACAGGCGTCCTTATTTCCATGTAACAGATGAGGAAACAGGTTCAGGGAAGCTCGTGGCTTCCTCAAGGTCACGCAGGTGCCAAGTGATGGAGCTGGAACTCAAATCCAGGTGGGGCGGATTCCAAAGCCCCACATCACCATCAGTGGTGTCTGTAAAGCAGAGGCAGTGCCCCCACCTCACCACCAACGCACTGGCTCCCCTCCCTGGCTGAGGGAGGAAGGGTGCCCTTCGTTCCTTGCATTCGTTTATCAGGCACCAGGGAGGACCTGATGCTGCAGAGAAGTCAGGGCCCCTCAAAGCATCTTTCCTCTTTCCGACTCTTGAACTGGCCTCCCCCTCCAACATGCCCCCACCCGCTGCCCGCCAGCTCTTCTGGGGCGCCAACCCCCACCTCTAGCTCCCCTCTCTCCCTCTCTGGACAGGTGCGAGCCTGCACCGCCAAGGGCTCAGGCCTCATCTCGTTCGCCCCCTTCTCCCAGGCCTGGCTCTTGGCCACCTGGGGGCTCTCAGCTTCCTCCACTGTTGGGTTGTAAGGATCCAGACACCCTGCCAGGGGTGGGGAACAGGTGGCCAGGGCCACCTCTCTGGGGTCTGCCTAGCCCCTTGGATCCAATACCCCCTCTTGGGAGGTGCCCCAAGACTGTAAGTCTTACTTTTACATTATTCTGTCCAACAGGTTGTGGCCTTGCTGTCAAACAGACTGGAATCCAAACTCAGCTCTGCATCTCATGGTCACAATTGACCCAGGGCAAGGTTCTCCCCACTGAGCCTCAGTCTCCTCATCTGTGAAATGGGCTGGATGAAGCCAGCAGCCTCGCCTGGTGTTGTGAGGATTATGGGAGACTCTCAAGTGTCAGCACCATGCTGAGCTCTGGTGCCAGGAGGACCAGGACCCCGGGGCCTGAGGGAGGCAAGACTGCATGTTCTCCAGTGTGTCCCTGCACCTTCTACCGGCCCACAAGAGTGGCCCTTCTCCTCCCCAAGCTCCAGGTTCCTCCCGATGCAAACCCCCTTCCTGGACAGGCCTTCAGCCAGCAGCTTTCATATTTTCATGCCTTCAAATCCTCACAACCAGCCCCACGAGGATGGAGCTGCCCTTGTTCCCATTTTGCAGATGAGAAAATTGAGGCTCCACGTAGCTAGAAGCAGCACAGAGACTCGCCCAAGCTCACCAGCTAGGGAGTCGCGTGGCTGGATTTTGAACCCCTAGGGTTTCCCCCACAACACCATGTGCTCCTAAACCCCCCCACGCTTCCCCTAGGGGATGGCAGGTGTCCTCCCAGGAGCAGCCCCTGACTTTGTAATGCCCCCTACCCTGGGGCATTTTGCCATTCCTTCCACACATCCTGACTTCCCACCCTGGGCCTTCACTGTCCCAGCTCCTCTGCCAGAAGCACGTCTGCCTGTCCCTTCCTTCCCCTCTATTTCACAAGTCAAACTTCAAGCCATCTTCCCAGGCTCAGCCTCCCGCAGTCTCCTATACACCCCTCTCCTCCACGTGCACACACACGGAGCCAGCCTGCCTCACCCTCAGCCCACCCCCGTGCTTTCACCAGAAAGATGAGGAGACAGCATGTGGAGGGCAGGACCCGTCCGGAGTCACCTGCTTCCCCTGCTACGTACTAGTTGAGTCACCTTGGGAAAATCACTCTGCTTCTCAGAGCCTCAGTTTTTTTTGTTTGTGAAATGGGCACACCTTCTTTGGAAGGATTTGATGAAAGAAAGGAGATAAAACACACAAAAGCTAGCGCTAAGCTGATGCCTCCCTCCTACCCCCAAAATGGGCCCCCTAGAAGTGTTATACATTCACACTCATGCCGCTCCTGCCCGGCTCAGCTGCCGAGAACCGAGAACCGTAGTGACTGTCGAGTCACGCTCAGTCTGGAAGCACCTTTCCCTCTCCGGCTCCTGGCCTTTAGGGGACTGGTTTCATAGACAGCTCTTGGGGTGCTCTCAGCCATGCCCCTGCCCTGGGTCTCCAGCAGATCCACACAAAGGCCCCCAGTCACACTGAGGTGAGCTGAACAAGAGACTCCAACCCAACCCTGCTGGCCTCACTGTCCCCAGCTGTGATGAGGGCATAGGATCCTCCTGCATCCTTCTACTTTGGGCACGGACCGGGCCCTCCGGGGCAGAAAAGGTGCCCTGGTTCCCGCCGAGCTTGGTGGCTGGAGCCCAGTTACCTGCTCTTCCAGCTTGTCCCTCAGACATCCAGTCCGTGCGTTCAGGGCAATCCAGTGGGCTCCCAGGGGTGGCAGCTGGGCTCAGCGAGGGGCGGGAGATGAGGGTCTGAGAGAGCAGCCAGGGAGGGGTTCGGGTGGGAATTCCGAAGCCTGCCCTGAGTCACCAACCAGACAGGCATAGGACCTGTCACCCGGACAGATAGCAGCTGGGCTCGGGGCACACACAGGAGCCAGCGGGGGGCCCAGGCAATGGTCAGTTACATCCCAGAGAGGTCACACAGGGAGAGAAGATGGTCATTGTAGGACAGGGAGTGATCAGCTGGGGATGGACAGACAGCAGACATGGGCTGGTCAGGGAGGTAGACGGACAGGAGGAGTCAATGAACAGGACAGGTGGCCAGCCAGGCAGACACACAGACAGACAGACAGACAGACAGGCAGGCAGAGAGGCAGGCAGGCTGTCAGTCAGACTCAGGCAGAAGCAGGCAGACATCTGAACCCCGAGCCCATCAGTCACTCAGTAGAGAGACACCCGTGGATCTATCAGAGGCAGCGGCTGCCATCCCTGCCCCAGAGCGCGTGTGGGGCTGGAAGAGGAGGATGTGGTGAGAGCTCCCCGCCAGCCCCGCCCACAGCACCGCTGGCTCCGCCCCGAGAGAGTGAGAAAGAAGTGGGAGGGGACCCCGCCCCCTGGCCGGGCCCACTGCTCCTCAAAGGTCACCTGCTAGGAATACATTGGGGTCACCAGGATGACATCATCCCCACAGGCGTCAAGGTCATGACCCATGAGGCAGGCAGAGCAGCTGTGGGCAGATGTGGAAACGGAAGCTCAGAGGGGTGCAGAGGTGCCATAGCTGGACCTGGAGGCTCCTGGTGGTCCTGAGAGACCAACTCTCAGCTCAGAGAAGACAGAATCCAAGACCAGAGCTTGTTCAAGGTCCCACGGTGATGTGGTGGCAGTGCCCCTCTCCTAGAGTCTGCCACCTGGTCTGTTTCACTCAGGCATGCTCCCTGCCTGGCCCAGTAGAGGTGGGAGCTCAGGACCTCCTTCCAGACTCTTGGCCCCATTTCCTTTGAATCCAGCTACCTGCTGCAGTGCTGCAGGAGGCAGGACCCAGTCTCCACACCCCGGAGAAGACAGTCCCTCGGGGGCATGTCCTATCACCTCTCTTTTGCCTCGCTTTGTCCATCTGTCACTTGGGGACACCAAGCCCTGAGGGGGAGGCAGCCATTAACCCATGGGAACTCCGGGGGAAAATAGAGAAAAGAATTCTCTAGAGAGTTTTCATCTTGCTGACAAGCCAGGAGCCCAGGAGAGTCTCAGATGTCTCTGACAGGTATTGAAGAAGCCAGGGGACAAAATTCAGCCAACTCAGGCCCAGCAACCTCAAAGGAAGAGCGAGAAAAATGCTAGTACTGCAGCTGCCGCTGTTACTGTCTTGCATTTTGTAGGCACCAAGGTGATCTCATTTTATCCTACAAACCCTGTGAGGCAGACAAGATTATTCCCTTTTACAGAAGGAGAAACCAAGGCTCAGAGGGCTTCAACGTCACACAAAGCTAAGAAGTGTCACCGCTGGGGTTTGAACCTGGGTGTATCTCATTTCTAAGCCTGCACCAGGCTGTGGAAATGGGCCCAAACCAGGATGACAGGGCACCTACCAGGCAGATGGGAGCTATTTGGTGCTGTTTTTTTGGTGACACAGGGTGGTTCGAACACGCATGCTATCTCTCCCCAGCTGACTCATTTTTGGGAAACAATTTACAGCTAATCCACATGACCACTCCAAAGAAAAAAAGAAAGCATCTTGCTCTTTATTTGTTTTATTTTTTTCTTTATTTTTTTCTTTTTCTGGATGTTTTTGAGGAACTTAAGTACAAATTCCCCTGTGGCCAATGTGAAGGACGTTTGCCCTATAGAAAAGCTCTCTTCCCCACCAAGAAAATATTGCGCGTTCTCAGAACACATCTTGGAAGAAAGCCAACTTTTCTTTTTTCTTTTCTCTGGGTCTTCAGGGTGAGTTTACTGATGCCACGTATCAGATATTTGCAGGGATGGAAAGTTCAAGAGAAGAAACAGTAAAACAGAGCTAAGGTTTGCTGAGAGCTTACTCTGTGTCAAGGTTTTAAGGACTTAAAGGATGCAGCACTCAGAATAACTCAGGAAAATGGTTATCATCATCATCGTCATCATCATCATCATCATCCCTAGTTAACAAGTAAGGAAACTGAGGCTCAGAGAAGTTAAGTGACTTGTCCAATGTCACTCGTCTGGTGAGTGGCAGGTTGGGGTTGAACTCAGTCATTTGGGCTCCTGAGTTGACTTTTTTTTTAAGATTTTTTTGTGATAGGAGGGGGGCAGAATTGGGGAAGGGAACAGTGTTGGGGAATTGGGGAAGGGAACATTGTGTTTTTCCAGGACCGATCTGCTCCAAGTGAAGTTGTTGTCCTTCAATCTTAGTTGTGGAGGGCGCAGCTCAGCTCCAAGTCCAGTTGCTGCTTTCAGTCCAGCTTCGGGGATGCACAGCCCACCATCCCATGCTAGAGTCGAACCGGCAACCCTGTTGCTCAGAGCTCATGCTCTCACCAACTGAGCCACCCCGCCGACCCTGAGCTGACATTCTTCATCATTCACTACCCTGCTTCTGGGTGTACGAGTATGTCAACCCAAGAATCTTCCCTCCCTCCTCCTGCCTGACCCCCCACACTTCTTCCCTCCCTCCCCTTCTTCTCTCTACCCACACACCCACCTATATACTCAGCCACTCTATCCACCCACCTGTCCAACCATCCGTTCTCTCCTTCCTGCCTTCTACCCACCAATACAAAGTGGGCCCTTCCTTGGTGATGTACTAGGGCTACCACACAGGACAATACACAAGTGACAGCCCTCACGGAGCCCGTGAAGCCACAGATAAAAAAAGAAGTAATGGGTAAACTAAGCAAATAGCACTAAGTGTCATAGAAAACCGGTGAGAGGGCAAGGCAGCGACATGTAGGGGCACACTCGATGCTAAGAAGCACCCAACCGTCGGGAAAACATTTTAGGCAGAAGTAACGGCAAGTGCAAAGGCACTGAGGTGGGAGGGCACGTGGCTTGCTCCAGAAACTGGAGAACATGGTGGCCGAATAGAGCGAGCACGCAAAGGAATGCTAGGAGCAGGATCACAGAATTCCCCGTGCATTCCCCATGGGACCTTGTAGGACCAGCAAGGAAGGTAGATTTGGTTCCAAGGGAAATTGGAAGTCCTCTGAGGTTTCCATCAGAGGAGTGGCTTGATCCAATTTACATTTTCAAAAGAGTGCTCAGGTCATAACAGGGAGTGGACCGGTTGCCGCAGAGGCCACTTAACCGCTTGTGTTTGAGAAGTAGATGCTTTTGAAGGTGGAACTTTAACAGCTACCACATCCATTGGGGTAAACATGAGGCCCCTCAGAAATAGATCTGTGTTGAGGGAAGGGTCCCTTGAGGGGCCTCTGTGAGTCTATACATGTCTTGTGAGCGTGGCCCCCAAGGTCTCAGAAAGAGGGTATAATAGGATCTCTCGACACCCACCCAACACCCCCTATTACTCAGAGCTGCTCAACAGGGAAGAAGTGGTTCAATTTGCATTTCAGCCAAGGGGCCTAGAGGGAGTGGGGGGGAAATAATCGAGACAATCCTGTCCTTCACCCCATTTCCTCTTTATTTTTGAACAGTTTTATTGAAGAATCATTTAAAGAGCATCAAATGCAGCCATGGCAAGCACGCAATTCAATCATTTTTGGTAAGCTGACTGAGTTGTGTAACCACCACCACCATCTAATTGCAGAATAGTTCCAGAAAGATCCTTTCTGCCTGTTTGCAGTCATTCTCATCCCCACCCCAAGCCCCACTAACCACCTTTTAGTCTTGGCTGGTTTTCCCTTTTTTTTTGCTAGACTTTTCACATACATTGAATCATCCAACGTGGGATCTTTTGTGTCTGGTATCTTTTACTTAGTATAATGCATTTGAGGTTCCTCTGTGTTGGGGCATTCATTCATTTGTGTTGTTGAATAATATTCCATTGCATGGACATGTCACTTGGGCTCGCCCATTCACAAGCTGGTGGGCATTCCACCGGTGTTCACGTTGTCTTTGTTATGGAAAAAACTGCGATGAATATTGTCATGCAATGTTTGTGCAGATGTGCGTTTTCAGGTTGTTTGGGTACATACCCAGGAGTGGATGGCTGAGTCATACAGTAAGTCTGTGTTGAATTTATTGAGGAGCTAACAAACTTTCCCACAGTGGCTGCACCATTTTATGTATTTGTGAAGATTTTTATTAAAATACAGTTAACAGTCAATATTATATTAGTTTCAGGGGTACACCATAGTTATTCAACATTTATATTCCTAAAGAAGTGATCCCCATGATAACCCAGCAATCATCTGACACCATCCCATGCTGTCACAATATTATTGACTGTATTCCCCATGCTGTACCTTACATCCCCGTGACTTATTTGTTTTATACCTGGAAATTTGGACCGTTCATTCCCCTTCCCTTTTCCCCCTCCTTTTTCAATTTTTCAGTTACAGTTGATATTCAATATTATTTTATATCAATTTTAGGTGTACATCTGACACCATACATAGGTATTACAATATTATTGACCATATTCCTTGTGCTATACCCTACATCCCCATGACTAGTGTGTAACAACCAATTTGTACTTCTTAATCTCTTCCCCTTTTTCACCCATTCCCAACCCCCCTCCCATCTGGCAACCATCAAAATGTTCTCTGTATCTATGAGCTTGTTTCTGTTTTGTTTGTTTATGTTGTTCTTTAGATTCCACATATAAGTGAAATCACACTGCATCTGTCTTTCTCTATCTGAGATACTCCACTCAGCACAACACCCTCCAGGTCCATCCATGCCACTGCAGATGGCAAGAACCCATTCCCTTCCCTGGCCGAGCAGTATTCCATTGTATGTATGTACCACCTCCTCTTTATCCATTCCTCCATCGACAGACACCCCGGCTGCCTCCACATCTTGGCCATTGTAAACAATGCTGCAATGAACATATGGATGCACACGTCCCCTCAAAGTAGCGTTTTAGGTTTCTTCAGATAAATACCCAGAAATGGAATTACTGGGTCCTTCTTTGTCGCTTCTTATAACCTTTGTTTTAAAGTCTATTTTGTCTGGTATAAGTATTGCTACCCTACTTTTATTTGTTTCCATTTTCATGAAATATTTTTTTCCCATCTCTTTACTTTCAGTCTGTGTGTGTGTTTTGATCTGAAGTGAGTCTCTTGTATACAGCATATGTAAGGGTTTTGTTTTCTTATCCATTCAGCCACCCTATGTTTTTGTTTGTTTGCTTGTTTTTTAAAGTTTATAATTTGTTTCCAATCCATTAGGATAAAACCCACTCTGATTGGAGCATTTAATCCATTTACATTTAAAGCGATTGTTGATATGTAGTTATTGCCATTTCTCCTCCTCCTCCTCCTCCTCCTCCTCCTCCTCCTCCTCCTCCTCCTCCTCCTCCTTCTTCTTCTTCTTCTTCTTCTCCTTCTCCTCCTCCTCCTTCTTCTTCG